TTTTTTTTTTTTTTTTTTTTTTTTTTTTTTTAATAATATTTTTTTAGCCTTCTTTGGGGTCTACCCTCTGAAATAGTTGACTAGAACATCTAATTTCAATTGGCAACATCCAACTTCCGTAAAAACAAACGAGCAAGATTCTTTTCTTCTTGAACACAAACAAAGCACGAGGGGAAATGAAGTAGCTAGTACTTTCTTTGCGTGTTGAGGCTTAGGCAATGGACACAATATTTTAAAAAAAATTTATTTATTTTAAACCTTACTTGGATACCCTCCCTAACCTGATTGATCAGAGGTATCTTTTTTTTCTTCGTTAATTTTAATTTATTTTTTAAGAACTGAGCTTTTTATTGAGAAAAAAATGAAAGAATGTACAAGGACATACAAAAAAACAAAGTCCACGAATGAATCCCTCAACTAACTAGAAATAGGGATTCCATCCAAAAGAAATATACCAAACTAGTAATTACAAAAAGCTCAATGAGTAGAAACCCACAAGGAGCATTACATCTAACCCCCCAAACATCCTCTCATGATCTTTCCACCCCTCCAAATATCCTGTTGTTCCTCTCCAATCAAATCCCCCACAAAGTTGTAAAAGTACAAGCCCGACACAAATTTCTACCCTTATACTAGTGAGAATTCAAAAGCACCTCCTTGATCATAGAACCTAGAACTCTGCTTAAGAAAGGGCCAAATGAATTCGAGAAGTGACACCATAGAGAATACACAAACTAAAAATCCCACAACAAGTCAAGATTCTCATGCCTCCTACATTAAATGCACCGTTGTGGACACAACACTGAGGACCCACAACAAGTCAAGATTCTCATGCCTCCTACATTAAATGCACCGTTGTGGACACAACACTGAGGAGGAGTGTCTTTATATAGAATAGAAGGTGTTTATGCTCCCTTAACACATCTACTAGATGAAGGACTTCACGTATTCGGAACTTCCAAAGAGAGGAAAACATAAAGGCAACTTGGGAAGAAGGGATGAAGCACAAGATAAGAAAAGAAAAAAATCTACATGAGAAACCTAAGAAGGGTGAGGATCCCAACCCAATAATCATTCATAAGAAAAGAAAAAAATCTACATGAGAAACCTAAGAAGGGTGAGGATCCCAACCCAATAATCATTCATTCCAAAACTTAGAATATGATCATGAATAATGGAAAAGAAGGAAAGCCGCCTCAACGGCCTCTTGGTCCATAAGGGAGCATTGCAAGCTTAGAGAGACAAAAGAAGAGTGATTATCCTCCCACAAGATAGAGGCCACCGAATGCAACCTTTTATCAGACGACCGATATAATCAAGGAGATAGTAAACAAATCAGCCTCCCAATAACCTTCCCAGAAGTAGATTTGCGAGCCTTAAAGAACAAAGGATTTTAGATTCAAAAGAAGATGGAGAAACTTGATGCAATGGTCAACCAAAGGTTTTTACTAGATCCCATAACCTTGTAGCTTGCTACCCAGCTATCCATTCAAAACGGATACAGGTCATACCTACTCACGACGATCATTTACCACAATGTGTTTGGCTCCCTGAAGGAACGACACAATCATTTTGCCAACAATGCTTCGTTACACAGTCTTAAGTTATCAATGTCTAACCCTCAAAGGCTTTGAAGCAACCTCCCAATTAACCAGGTGAGACCCTCCCGCTGCATTTTTCCCTTCCCACAAGAAATTTCTCATCAAGCGCTCCATGGACTTGCTCATCGAAACATGGATTCTAATGTGGGAGAGAAAGTTAATAGGGATCCCACTCATGGATGAGGGCAAGTCTCTTACCTTTCTTTTCTTGGACGAGAGACGTCTTCAATTTAGGTAAAATTGGGAAGAGGTTCATAAAAGTTGATTTATCGGTGCAGTTCACCAACTTCTCTAGGGGACCAGCTGCTTGGTTCTTGGAGGATCAAAGACATCCCATTTATTTTACCTACCAACTTCTCTAGGGGACCAGCTGCTTGGTTCTTGGAGGATCAAAGACATCCCATTTATTTTACCTCTAAGATGTATCCAACTATTATCAAAACTTCATTGCTGTGAGGTCTGGCAGTAGTTCGTAGCCACCTACATTTTAATTTTTCAGGACCACACCTGGAGATTGCTGTTTTTCCAATTATTCTTCCTCTTACTCTTCTGGGGCTAGCTATTTGTTCTTTACCTGGAGATTGCTGTTTTTCCAATTATTCTTCCTCTTACTCTTCTGGGGCTAGCTATTTGTTCTTTTTTGATTGCTTCAGAATGTCTTCTTGGTTCTCTTTGCTTTTATTTCAGTACTAGCATGTTTTTCAAATTGATAAAGCTCGAAGATGTTACCTTTGTTTTATTAAAAAAAAAAGGAATCTAGTGGTTATTCATTTTAAAACACTAGCTTTTGTAATGAGGTTTTTAAATTTCTTGTTGCTCTTTTGCAGGTATTGTTGATTGTACGCTTTCTCCAGCATGAACATCATCTTAGCCGTCCTATCAACCAAGTAAATTCCCGTTATCTTTTTGTAAGGGTTTATTTGAGAAGTTGGACTAGCACTGCAATTTTATAAGGAAGGATCTCCAAGAAATTCAATCTTCTTTGCTGTGACATAAAATTTCTTATCATAAACTAAGAGCAGTGTATATGTTAAAATCTTGAGTCTTCTTTGCTGTGACATAAAATTTCTTATCATAAACTAAGAGCAGTGTATATGTTAAAATCTTGAGGCCTGTTTTAATATTTTAATCATTGCTGTTGCCATTCTCTCCCTGGGCATTGGTTGTATATATTGGTGATTATGAATTTAAACTTGTCTGAACTCAATGTTCCTGCAGAACTTTGGGAGCCTTTTAATGGACTTCCTTTACTTCTTTGGGTAAGTTTGACTTTCTTTATTAGCAGAACTTTGGGAGCCTTTTAATGGACTTCCTTTACTTCTTTGGGTAAGTTTGACTTTCTTTATTACTATCATTTCGTTTAAAAAATAATATCACTTACATTTCCACTGTAAGGGGGAAAAGAAAACTAAGTTCAGTTTCTAATTCCAGTTTTTTTCGCACTACAACAGTGGACTGCAACTTTAATTTGTATTACTTTTAATCCAGGAATGTCTTTGATCCTCGTCAAATGCGTATTTCAATACAGGGGAGTGGAGTCTATATTAAGAGAGAAAGGGGATATAGGTAAGTTATTCATTCCAAATTGATTATCGCTCAGGTTTATTTTGATGGCATTTCTTAGTACTATCTATGACGTTGCCCACTTTTACCACTTGTAGGTTAGTTATAATTGTTAACAACGTTCCATTTTTATGTAGCATTGTTGCCCACTTTTACCACTTGTAGGTTAGTTATAATTGTTAACAACGTTCCATTTTTATGTAGCATTGATCCTTTACATATTGATGATCCTCTTTTCCCCATGAATAACGTTGGACGAAATTGTTTCCGTATTCATCAATGTATCAAGGTGAGGCATCTGTCCTTATGGCATCATTTACTTTGTCAACTTCAGAATTATGGTGTGGATTGTACTTAACATAAATATGGGACTCCATTTAGAAATATCACTTTGCAATACAATCTTTTTTTTTCATTCAACTAGATATGAAAACGAAACTGTTTAAAGGATACCAACTCCAAGAGGAAGAGAGGAACTGAGGAGTGTGAGGAAGAGAGGAAGTAGAGGAAGTGAGAAATAGTGAAAGCAAAGAGAAGAAAAAGAGAAAAAAGGAATTCAGAAGGGAATATCATCCCAAAGAAAGAAAGAAAGAAAAAAGAGAAGAAAAAGAGAAAAAAGGAATTCAGAAGGGAATATCATCCCAAAGAAAGAAAGAAAGAAACATAAAAGACTTAAGAAAACACATGAGCTTTATGAAAATCCAGCCTTGTATTGAACTGATACCTACTCCGAAAATCCCAAAGGAACATCAAGAATCTTTGACTTTGGAAGCCTTGTATTGAACTGATACCTACTCCGAAAATCCCAAAGGAACATCAAGAATCTTTGACTTTGGACTCAGCATAAAAAAAACATGAAGCTCTAGTTTTTTTTTATCCTTTATTGAAGAACTAAACTTTTATTGAAAATCATATTAAAAAAATCAAGTTTGAAATCCTACCAAAGAAAGAGACTTCAATCAGGTAAAATTAGATGTAACGAATAATTACAAAAGGACTGTGTCACCGATAAGAAAGAGACTTCAATCAGGTAAAATTAGATGTAACGAATAATTACAAAAGGACTGTGTCACCGATTCCCAAAAAGAAACATAGAATCTAACAAGGGATAAAACTTCACAAGATCCCTTATTCCCTTCACTAAAGGTTATATTGCCACAAAAGCTTTCCTCTCTCGAAACAACAATCATCTCTGAGTAATCTTTGTGCTTTGAAACGTGAAAACCAAATGTGTCAAAGTAAGTAACTCCAAATAGACTGTGCCACAGTTCCAAAGGATTTGATCCAAGTCTTCCTCCTGTCAAAGTAAGTAACTCCAAATAGACTGTGCCACAGTTCCAAAGGATTTGATCCAAGTCTTCCTCCACCCTCACGGCAAAGAATGCAACAAAAATTCCCTATCAAAGAGGGCAACTTCCGCTAGCTTCCTTTAGAATGAGCTTCAATCAAAGGGTCATGTTTATTAACAATACAACCTTTCTTGTTGGGAAAAATAATCATGTTGTCCATGTAAAACCAAACATCTCTATTTCAATTTTGTACTTTGAAGTTGAGGCAAATTAGCTGTGCAACTTTATTTTTTAAATGAAAATGTAAAATAATTTTACCTAGAAAATGAGTTGCTGAGTGTAATTTGTAAAGTGACTTGCTCATGATTTTTCTTTTGATACACAACAACTTGACTTATTGTCCTGGACTTTCTCACTTGTGACTTGCTCATGATTTTTCTTTTGATACACAACAACTTGACTTATTGTCCTGGACTTTCTCACTTAAAGTTAAAATGCTTGAATGTTAAAATTAATGACATACATTAAGATAGATAACTCTTCTGAACACAAGAAGCTCATTCAACACTGCTACTTGCATGCATCTTTAACACGGTTATGATACAATATTGGTCTTAAATCAGATTCTTGGCTGTACATACAAAATTTTATTTACTTGCTAGTTTATTTTACATTACTATGTTTTCCTATGATTGTCCCATTACATACAAAATTTTATTTACTTGCTAGTTTATTTTACATTACTATGTTTTCCTATGATTGTCCCATCAAAAATATATTCTATGATCGTGTTCTGTTTTGCTTATTCAAAACTTTTGTTCATTGTAGGCTTTTTCAGAAGCTTATTCTATTTTGGAGAGTGAGCTGATATCCCTTAATGATAATGGTGATTCTAGTTCAGATGCAACTAATAGTGTGCTGCAGAAAATAATCCCTAGCATTGATTTATCATAAGGTTTGCACTGTTATCTTTATATGCATGCAGGTAAATTTAAGTTAGTTTATCATTGATTTATCATAAGGTTTGCACTGTTATCTTTATATGCATGCAGGTAAATTTAAGTTAGTTTATTTTGTTATTTCTTTCAATTTAAGTTAGTTTATGTTGTTAAAAGGCCTTCGGGAGAAATCTTATAAAGGCCTTCGGGAGAAATCTTATAAAGGCCTTCGGGAGAAATCTTATAAAGGCCTTCGGGAGAAATCTTATCTTATAAAGCCTTGGGAGAAATCTTATCTTATAAAGCCTTGGGAGAAATCTTATCTTATCTTATAAAGCCTTGGGAGAAATCTTATAAAGGCTAAATATAGAAATCTTATAAAGGCTAAATATAAGATAAAAATCAACCCGGAGAAATCTTATAAAGGCTAAATATAGAAATCTTATAAAGGCTAAATATAAGATAAAAATCAACCCCCTCTATCTTCTGCAAAAGGGTCAACATCAATTGAAAACACTACTTTAGCCCTGCGGTATCCACTTTTGTATAGGCTCTCTCGTAACAAAAATGTCACTCTCAAATTAACTTGAAATGTTGTCAACAAGTTGTGGAATCTGAAGCTTGGTAGGAATTTAAAGGATAACGAAGCAACAGAATGGGCCGAATTAAGCCTTGACCTTGCCCCAGTGCCCCAGTGGTATTGTCAAACAAAACAGACTCACTAACTTGTCTCCCCAATGCTGATAAGGGATGATGGACAAAATCCTAATGCTAACTTGTCTCTACAAAATCCTTGATGATGGACATGGGAGAAAAAGTAGAAGCACTAAATCTCACGCTAGTAAAGACAATATGGAAAGGACATCACCCTAAAAAGGTGAAGTTTTTCTTTGGAAAATAAGGCATAAAGCTGTTAGCACAAGTGCAAACCTTCACCAAAAAAAAAAAAATAAATAATAATAATAATAATAATAATCACAAAGCCTTTCATTACTCAAATTGGTGTCCATTATGCCAGAAAGGAAACGAATCACAAGGTCACTTATTTATGCAATGCACATACGCTCATAATTTTTGGTTGGACAACGATTCTCAACAATATATTCGAATCGCATCTCACATTTCCTAGAGAGGTAAATGATTTATTGGACATGTCCTTAACATACCACCCTTTCAAGAATGCAAAAGACCTACTATGGAAAAACCTCATCACAGTTTTCTTTTGGAATCGGTGAAAAGAAAGAAATCAAAGAATATTAAAGAATATTCGCAGAAAAGACACAAACTTATACAAAATTATCTAATATTTTTACTTCCTATGTTGTTTATTAAATCTTGGTGTAAACTATCTAATATTTTTACTTCCTATATTGTAACCTTATTACTTCCTATGTTGTTTATTAAATCTTGGTGTAAACTATCTAATATTTTTACTTCCTATATTGTAACCTCTCTTAGTATAAATTGGGAAGGTCTTTTGTAAATATCATGTCGTAAATTTCACATAATCACAGCTCCCAGTCTTGGAGGAGGATTCTACCTAGTTTCTTGTATCTTAGACACTACGGACGAACAAAAAGTAATTTGTACATGTTGCAAACAACTCAAAAGTATTAGGACTCAGATTCTCCTATTTCTTTCCTTCAAAAGCTCCCAAATAAACTTCCCTACAGCACACCTTCACATAACTCCGGCGTTTCCTCTAAAGGCTCTTGCCATTTAAAGCTTCTCATAGCCAATCTAAGACAAATGCCGGCTTACATGATAAAAAATCGAAGGCCTTAAAAATTTGATTCCACCCTCTCAATGCAAAAGGACACCTGAGGATGATCCATTGTTTTCTTCTCTTCTTAAGCACAGAATACGCACCAAAATAAAATAGTTTCCCGGTGTCCTTTGATATCTATAATGAGTGTTGAAGGAAGGGTCTTGATTTAAGGAATATTTGTGTAATTAAGAGATATTTGTGGAGTCCCTTTACATAAAGGAAAATATTACCTTATATGTAGGGATTGATTTATTTATATATTATTATTACCTAGTATCTAGGAATTTAGCTAGATTTAATTTTATGTAGTACCTAGGAATATTTTTTTAGCCTTTCCGTATCTAGCTAGATTTAATTTTATGTAGTATCTAGGAATATTTTTTTAGCCTTTCCGTATCATAAAAGGAACCTGTATCTTTATGAAAAAAATGAAGAATTGAAAGCAAGATTGTTTATACTTGCAACGACTTTTGTGATCCAGACTCCATAGGAACACAGTTATCTTCCTTGGGTGATCAAACTTCTGACCATTGGAGTTATAGGCTTTTGGCTAGTTTTTGTTACCTTTATAAAATCCCATCTAGTAGAGAATGCCCAATCTAATGATATCATGGATATGAATTGAAGCCAACTGTCAAATTCTCTATCTATATTTAGTAAGGAGATTTCCTTTACCTTTCTATTGGGGAAATGAAGGCTTTATTTATTAATTGATTAGAATCCAAGATTGCTTGTTGAGCTTAAGTTTCACCTTGATGCTTGTCTTTTAACGACACAATCGCACTCTTAAGGGCAGCGGACTAGCGATTGTGCGGCACTCACTTTCCAACGACAAGTGAGCTGAGCCAATTTGTACTTGCGTCGCCTACGGCCAAGCGACGTATGATCGAGCCTCTAGCCTCGGTTTTAAAAGAAGGTTTTGGAAAACGAGGGTAGAGAGAGATTTTAGAAAGAGAGATTTTTGAAAGAGACGTTATATAAGCAAGCAAGAGAGAGATAACAACGGCTTAGCATATATAACCTTGGGTAGGGAGAAGTTGACAA